CTTAGTAAATAGGGTTATAAGTCCCTTAATTGGGGTTATAAGTATACTTACCCTCATTATAACCCTACTTACTAAGTCCCATGATCCTTTAAGTCAAGCAGTTGGTTGCCTTTTAGTCGCAGCCTTCTATTGCCCGAAGAGCTTCCAAGACCCTCACTGCCCTTCGTTCCCAGAAGCGTCTCTCTTTAGGGTTTCGAATATAGGGTTTAGGGCTTTGGTTTTAGGGTTTGGGGTTTAGGGTATAGGGTTTAGGCTTAGGGTTTAGGGTGTAACAGCTCGAAGTCCAAAGTTGCAGGAAGGAGATGCCGAGGCGGACCCAGAAGAGCCCTCTATTTGAGCCTCAGGTAAGCCGCCTGTTTATAATAACCTGATAAGCAACCCTTCTAGCAACCCTTAGTAGGTCGTATTCCTGACAAAACCCTAAACTCCCTAAACCCAAAACCCAAAACCCAAAACCGTAAACCCTAAACCCTAAACCCTAAGCCTCGGGTAGGATTCCGCCCGTTTCGCGAAACTGCTGACGCGACTCTTGGAGGAGCGGGGGCTGGGGGTTAGGTCTCGGGGTCTACGGCTGGGTGCGGGTTAGTGCCCCTAAAAGCCCAAAGCTTGGGGTTCTTCTGGTTGGCTCTTAGGACTTTAACTTGTTAAAAGGGTTTCTATATGAATTATAATAAGTAGGGTAAAAGTTTAACCTTTAGGAGGGGTTCAGAAGTCGGACAAGAAAGTGAAAGCAATAACTCGATTCGGACAGGTGAAAGGAGGCACGTTTCGGGGGTTCGGCTGGAGACGAGGTTGTTTGCGTAGGAATTTGCTGGAATTGCTCGAATGCATCACGAACACAATGCATTGTTGCGTTCACGAGCAAGATATGGCACAGGTCGCGTTTGCATAGACTGATGTGCAACAACTCGGGTTTTGTGGCATCGCTTGGGCAACAGTATCTGAGCAGGCGAGCCGTTAATAGTCGTGAGATGACGGTGATTTGTGAGGAGTCTTATTATGCCATGTCCTGCCACTGCTCAAAAATGTGGCAGATGGCGTGCATACGACATGGAAAAGCAACAGCATGATGCCGGAAATGTTGTCTCTGTGCAGACTAGGTTGCAGCATGGAAGTGCACCAATATCGTCATAACTTCTTCCCTTCATCCCCAACCCACCACCCCCACCCCGATCTGCCGAAATGGCCCGCAAAACCAAAGCTGCCAACCGTACCCTGCAACACCTGAAGCAAATAATCCGAATGCGCAAACATGCAGAAGAGAAACACATCCTTCTGCGAGAACCGCCGGGGGACAAACCCGACGGGACTATGAAAACCCTGATCTCTGGACTAAACCCTAAACCCTAAACCCCTAAACCCTAAACTCTGGACCCGAAATCAGAAATCCTGAGCCTGCAAGCCTGAATGACCGGATCACTTCTGCAAGCCTCAACCCAGATTTTACGGTGGCTTTGTGGCTGGACGCGCTTCCTCAAAAAAGCTACTTGCGAACGGCTGCGGTTTAGAGCAGAGTCTTAGAACAGGTGTAGGGTTCAGGGAGGGCTCACATGTTCCCCCTTTACCCTAAACCCTAAACCCTAAAGAGCCGTGCATCCGCTTTCCTCAGGCCTTTGTGCTGGGTCTCCGGCGGCAGCGGCTACAGGAGACCCAAGACGATGCTTGTTCCGTATGCTCCTTCCGCCAGCGTGCGAAACCCGCGCCTGTTTCGAAGTCATATGAAAACCGATCATCGGAAGAAGCCTGCCTTTGCAGTTCAAGGTATATGTACCTCGCACTCTCCTAAACCCCCATGCCTTAACCATGGACCTCAGAAGGAGCAGCATCGCAAGGAGTGGCAACGGAAGGCGGCCAGTTGTCGTTCTGAAGTCTTGCTATGGTTTGCCACCTAGTCCTGAGTTCGGGAGTACAGTTGAGGTCCAGAAACCCCTATCATCAACCCCTCTGAAACCCTATAGTAGCCAGTAAACAGCCCATAAGACTCCCTCCGCGTGACCCTAAACCCGAAATCTCTAAAACCCCTAAATCCCCAAAGCCCCAAAACCCCAAAACCCTAAACTCTAGACCCTAAGCCCTAAACCCTAAACCCCTAAAGCCCCAAAACCCCTAAACCCTAAACCCTAAGCCTTAAACCCTATAAACCCTAAACCCCTAAAACCTCTAACACCCCAAAGCCCCAAAACCCCAAAACCCAAACCCTAAAGCTTAAAACACCCTGACCCCTCAAGCCCCAAAGCCCCCTAAACTCTAAACCTCTGAAATCCCAAAGCCCCAAAACCCCCCAAAACCCCAAACCCTAAACCCAAAGCCCAAAAGCCCTAAACCCCCCCTTAGTTTGAAAAGAGAGCTGCGAGGCAGAGGGTGTCGATGACAAAGCGGCCGCGGGTGCCCAGCGGACGCCGAAGGAATTTTTGATTTTCGACCAGTCCCCCGGCACAATGTTTTAGGGTTAAGGGTGTAGGGTGGCCTGAAGAGCTTTAAAGCTTCTTGTTGTGCTATACCAGGTGATCGAGCGAGAGAGAGAGGGGCATTCGGACACCAAACTCTTCATAAGGAAACCCTAAACCCTAAACCCCTATACCCTAAACCCTTAAACCCTAAACCCCGAAACCCTAAACCCTAAACCCCTAAACCCTAAACCCCTAAACCCTAAACCCCTAAAGCCGAAACCGACAAAGAGACCAGGCCAAACCGACCACGGAACTTCAACCACCACGTGGGTAGTTCTCTAAATTAGGGTCGCTTTTAGGATCCTTTTTGTAAGAGTGCCGTACTATATTAAGGGACCCTAATTTAGAGAACTACCCATGTAGGTTCCCAAAGACTCTGCTCTCAACTGACGAGGATCCCCGTATGCAGGAGGTTTAGGTGTTTAGGGTTTAGGGTTTAGGATCCCAGGTATAATTCAAGGATTAATGGATCGTTAACTCAAGGACATTGCAGCCCTAAGCCCCGGAACCTTAAAGGCCAAACTATTCCCAAACTCGGTGGGCGCACGGTTTTTGATGGCTCTCTGCCACTTCCGCCCTGCATCTTGTGATAGCCCCAAGGCACTGACTCTCGAGCCCAGACGTATGGGTCTTGGTGGGAGGCTCTTCTCAGCAGATTCAACGTCAAGAGTGCCATGTTGGTACTTCGTTATGACAGTGTTATGGTTTTAGAACGGACCAAAATTAAAAGTAGCATAGAATAGAGTAGACTATGATGCAAAGGACTCGTATTGGTTTCTCGATGGACGATAAATAGCATAGAATAGAAGAAGTAAAGTAGAACATGATGTAAACTAAACCCTAAACCCTAAACCCTATAAACCCTAAACCCTAAACCCTAAACCCTATAAACCCTATAAACCCTAAACCCGATAAACCC